CGAGGTCTCGCTCTGGCTCAGGCAATTCACCTGCCTCGGCCTCCCAGAGTGTTAGGATTATAGGCGTGAGCCACCATGCCCAGCAGAGAATAGGTTTTAATTACATAGATTTGTGTCCCTCAAGTATCACTCCATAAAAACCATCCATACCAATTCTGTATAAGTCTTAATTTAATTGTAACAAGTCAATTTAAAATACTGTATCTACTTACTATGGTTTTATTTATTTCCAATTAGTCTGAAATTCTCCAGGAGAAATTGTCAACTAAATGAAGAATAATACAAGTATCTACTTTATTCCAAGTATTTTTAATTTTTCAGAATAGGATGTCAGTCAAATATAAGTAAAATGGAAAAATTGTTGAGGCTATATTCCATCTGATTACAAAGCAAAGTGTACTTTTAATCAAATCACACAATCAAAACATACCCATGAAGATCATAATGTCAAGGCCTCATAACACACAGGCAATATAATATAATGATTAAAAGACAGGCTCCCAGAAGCCAAAGGTCAGATTAAACCTCAAGTTCAAATACTTTTAGCAGACTCCCCTAATACTTAATCTCTCTAACCCTCACATTTAGTTCAAATTCTGGGTTTCTCACCTACTATTTAATCTGTCAGTGCCTTGGGGTAAAAAAAAAAAAAAAAAAAAAAAAAACTCATTTTGAAGATTAGAAGTGAAGACATGTGTCAAGTATTTCTAGAGTAGTACAATACCAGGTATATAGTTATCAGTCAACACATACTAGCTTTTACCATCATAATCAACAACTCCTACCTACAATCTTTTTCTGAATCTATCAAGTTTTTAACAACAAATCATAAAGCTTCTTTTTTTTAATCCAAAAAGAGTCTTCAGTCCTTTGTGCATATGGAAATTAGCAGATAACTGGCTTCTTTGCCATCTAAAGACAGACACTGCTTAGTCTTTTTATATATAATAAAATTCTCTTCCAAATATTATGCAAAGGACAGACTGCTCTATGGATCACAAACACTACGAGTTCACAAAATATAATGAAATTTTGAGATTCATGAAAGAATAAACAGCAACTGGAACAAAAAGCTTAGATAAAAAATGAAACAGAAGTCTGCTCAAAAAATACTGAATTCTATAAAAAGACACAGAAGGTAGAGATCTTCATGGTTTATGGTGACATTACTAAAAACATACAGAGGATTTTTTTGGTAAATTTTTTTCTTAACTGCAAAACCTCTTATTCCTTCGTAACAAAGGATAGAAAAAATGGTATGACAAGCAAAGACAATTTCTTCAAAAACAAATTCTGTAGAAAAGAAAGCCTGAAGGGTCAGATTTTCAGACCTTACTTAAAAATGAGAAGCATCTAAGCCTTCCTTGTGGTCTGTAACATTAAGAAGCAATACTTTAAGCCCTGTTTCTGAAAACATTAATCTGAAAGAAAATAGCCCATAAATTTAAAGTTAATACCATGGGTTAAGCTAGGTGGATCAGGTAAATACTGGAGTTTCCAATAAATGAACCAAAATAGTTTTGAAAGCCTAGACAAAGAAATGCTTCAAATAATTTTGTATTTGTTCAAGTCCTCTAATGTGTTAGATATTGAGGTTGCCACTTTCGCACACATTATGTAATTTCATTCTCCCAACAAACATATGAGGTAAAGATTGTCATCCTCATTTTACAAATGAGAAAACTACGGCCCACCAATTTGCCCATGGATAGACAATTCAAATTTTCTGACCCTCAGTCAATGCTCTTGCTTTCATTGTATCACTGTCACTTTCAAAATTCAAGTACTCGAAATCTTAGATCTTAGGAGGTGTGCTAATCTTTTTATCTGGAAAAGGCAACTGTTGTGATGAGAGAAGTATTACTCATGTAACAAAAAAAAGACTCTGCTTAACCTAACAATTTACTCAGTCTAACTTAAATGCTTTGGGTTCAACGCTGTCTATCCCATAACTACCTGCTTATAATTAGGTGTGCAGCCTATAAGACTTAATTCAAAGAGTTAAGAGTACTTGAATTTTGAAAGTAACAGTGATATAATGAAAGGTGTCTATTTCTCAGAGACTTTTGTATTCAAGTTGTATTTGTCTTATTTGCAGATCATATTTATAAGACTAAGATAGGACCTATGTCTTCTACTTTAGAATCACCTAATGCTCCAACACATTGCTATGTTTTCAATCTTGTTTATTAGAATATAAATATTAACTCAAGAATCACCTCTTCTAAGAAAGTTTCTCAGATGACATTATCTACTTCCCTCTTCCCTAGCTAAAATCCTTCGTTTATCACCTCCTGGCTTGTATCTAGTTTAGACTTCATTACCACATACTTATTCTGTTCTCCAGTCATATATCTGGAACCACATTTTTTCATTCAGTAATTACTGAGGAATGATTGAATGATGAGCAAAATAGATAAGGTCCTTGCTATCAGAGAGAGTTCACATTGTCTGGAATTTTAACAAAGGTAAAAACAACATAGGGTATAAAAGTATAATGCACAGGACAAGAATTTCTCCTCTACAACATCTCTAAAGAAAGCTCTCTCCTATGCAAGCTTAACAATACTGTTCAGGAAAAAAAAATCCCTTCCATCCTGCCTTCCAGCTGAGAACTTCAACTTCACGCCTTTGTAAGGGATGAGAATCAAGGTGGAAGAACAGATCTAACTAAAATCTCTAAGAGGTTTTCCACATAGACAGGAAATCTGCACACATCAATCCAGACATTTCTTACTGTACCCCACCCGCAAGGAAACTATACTTCAGCCAGAACTGCTCCAGTTGTACACCTATACTGATTGTCTTGCACCCAGCCACCTTCGTTAAAAGGAGTCTATTTCTCAGAGACTTTTGTATTCAAATTGTATTTGTCTTATTTGTAGATCATATTTATAAGACTAAGATAGGACCTATGTCTTCTACTTTTAAATCACCTAATGTTCCAACACACTGCTATGTTTTCAATCTTGTTTATTAGAATATAAATATTAAAACACAGTACTTCAGGTATTGATATTAAGATAAAGTTTCCCAAAGTAATATTTTAAAACTGCATCTAAGTACTTATTAATTCTTTGTCTTTGATGCTTCACTGCAAGTAATCTGCTCTTGGAGGATTATTCATAAACCAATCCAAGTTGGAATGTACCACTGGTTAAAATGCTGCAATTCATGCTTTAAAAAGAAAGATCCTTTTGAAATGCATATTTTATAAATTTATAACGTCATAATTTTTTAAATCAAAGCAAACTAAGTATAACTTCACTTACGCTGTATTACATATTTATCCCCAAAATATATTTTAAGGCTCTCAATTTTAAAATGAACCAAGAAGCTTACTATTGCCAAATATCTAAGTGCCACAAATGTGTTTTAAAAAATACTTGATTGCCTCTAAAATTCAACATTCTAATTGAAAATGAAAAATACAGCAGCATCTTTCCACAGATCAAAGATTCAACAACTATCATGATTCCAATGACAGAAAAATAAACCATAACCATTTTTAATTTTTAATTAAACAGGCATTTCTAAGCACCTGTGTGCAAGGCACTGTGGCTGAAACGGTTCACATGGAATCTGACCCCAACAACTTAATCTCCATAATTAAAGACCTAAAAGGTCTCCTTATGTTTCATCTGTTCCCTTTTCTAGCACTTTCAACAGGCATACTGTTGTCATTCCACACACAGTTGCTACCAAAAAAAGGATAACAAATACTTGAAATTAGTTGAACTTTTATAGAGGACATTTTAAATTGTATGGCCTTACTCTTTCTTCTCCAACATGTTTTATAAAACTAGCATGATCTTAATCTTTTCACTGCAAAACAGATTCTAGCAAGCACAGAAATGGATCACAGAATTTCAGCACAATCAAATTTAGATGAAACCCTGAGATGAAGAAAACCTAACAAGCAATTCACCCAGGATCCTCCACAATTCCCTGATCTCTCTGAATACTAAGGCAAAAATTGTTTTAAATGATTGTTCAGAAAGACCTAAAGTAGCAGTAATTTAGGGGCTGTTTCAGGTGAAGTTAATAAAAAAAAAACAACTGCCACAACACAAGGCATTCCAATACTACTTAGATGTCACTTCAGTATTCTAGCAGCACAAAAGCAAAAATTCATTAATTTATTTATTTAAAGCATATATGTTTATGCCATCACATAAGTTTACCCGTCTAAGCAGGAGGCCAAGTTACCTATATTATTTCACAAAGTATTTACCTAGATAAAATGAAATCAGGTTATTTCTGCAACGCAGATGTGCCTCACAAAGAGTGTTAACTGACTTTTGTGAATGGAAAATCTGCAAATACTGTTGCTTCGCCTCGGCGGGTCGTTGCGTGGGTGGCTCAATGAACCAAAAAAGCACGCTGCAAGTGAAGCTCCTTGGAACCTGACTTCACTCTTGAGAAGAAAGCTTAGAAATAAACAATTTAAAAGCACAGCCAAGGCTTGCCTCTCCCCCTCCGTTACAAAAAGGCCCCAGGAACTGAGGTTTAGAGGGATAACACCGTTGTCACTCGGCTCTGCAAGGGCGGGTGCGGTCTGCGGCGCGCGGCACAGCCTCCTCTGGGGCTGTCACAGGAAAACCGGAGCCTCGCCTTAACCGCACCGAACGACAAGCGCCACTTCTCCCGGGCGCAGGGGCTTCTGGCCAAATCCTGCCGTCCGCCCAGCCAAACTTCAGGAGGGAGCGGACACCCCGGCGGTCAAAAGGCTCGAACCGCCTCCCACCAGGGCTGCCCTGCCCCGGCTTTGTGGCTGCAGACTGCACCTACCGCGGGCCCCTAAACACTCCACCCTCGCCAGCCTTTCCAATCCCCGACTCCAAAGAGGGACAAAGGAGCCAAAGAGAAACTCCTCGGCGCGGGGTGCCTCCCGACAGCCAGAGCTCAGAACGTAGGAATAAGGGGGTGGGGAGACAGTGTCCCCGAGGGCTGCCGACCCTCCGCCCCCCAACTCAGGGAAGCGCGCGCGCGCCACTCACCGGTGCGGGCGTCCAGCGAGGCGGGAGGCAGCGAGCCGGTTCCTCTGGAGCCGCAAAGACGCCGCGGTCCGGGGCCCTGCACTCGTCGGGTCGGACCCCAACTTCTCTTGACGGCTGTCGCCGGCGGCAGCTGGAGCGCGAGCCCAGACTGAGGGCGCTGTCTAGGTGCAACTGGGGCGCCGCCGGCGCGGCCCGCGAAGCCGGGCGGGAACTCTGGTCCCGCTGTCGGCCCGCCAGAGCAGGCTCCCACCTTCCCTCCGCCTGCCGGCTGTCGGCGGCGGCAAAGCTAACGCCACAGCCGCCCGGGCTGCCGCTAACACCGCCGCCCAGCCAGGAGCGCGTCGCGGCCTAATGTTGTCATCGGCCTAGTCGCCGCCTTTCTGGGCACTGGCGCCGCCACGATCCTTCACATTCTAGCGCCCTCCCCCTCCCAGCTCCGCCCCCTGGCTCGCGGGCGTCGGCCACACCCTCTTCCCGTCACGTGACTGCGCTGGGCGTGCGCTCCCTTAGCAGTCCCGCCCGCGCCTTCTGCACCGGTCTCCTCCGTGCTTCCTCGCCGAGGACGCTGCTCCGGATCAGTGTGGACCTCACCTGTGAGACCCCCAACGCGAGGTCTGCTTCCCCAGCCTAGGGCTTGGTTAAAGTTATAATCAAACAAAGGAAAAAAGAAGGCATTCTGGTGTACGTCTGGCTTAAAAAGCATTCAGTAACTGCTTGTTCCTATTTCTGGTAGCACATGAGCTGTAACATTTAATTTACTGTTTTCCTCATTAGAGGTTTTTATTTTTGAGCAAACACTGGTGTATTTCAGTCGCGCTGGGATGAAAATAGTCTAGCAAACTTATTTTTGTTCTAGTTATGTTAAGACTCCTTCGTGCCAGTTTCACAGTCATTAAGTTATACAGTGTGTTAGGTGGTGACAGTTTAAACAGACACAGGAGTTTGACAGTTCTCTTTTTAGATAAAACCCAGTTCATGACGTTCCATTTTTAAAATAAAGCCTAATTGTTGAATTTTGTTTCAACTCCTTGGACTTAACCTTTTGTTTCCTTTTTAACCGTGATCCAGGGAACCCTCCCACCCTGAAATGCTAGTTAGCCACCAAAAGAAAGTAAGGACGCAAAAATAGCAAGGTAGAAGAGCAGAAAGATTTCCTGATAACAGTAAAGGCAAATGAAAAACCTTTCTGTAATAATTAAAGTTAAGTCATAACTCCTTTTCTCTCCCATACCCGGACTAAAGATTTTTTTTTCTTAAACCTTACGTCTCATCTCATTACATTTTCTTGTCAAGAAGTCAGAAGGCATGACCAGCTGGTTCCATTGAAATGAATAAGCAATAGAGTTTAGCCTATAAACCTTATTATTAATATATTTCATAGCAGCCCCCCCAAAATCACACACTTTAAGACTCACCATCATTTTATGTTATCAAGAAAAGACAGAATGTTGCCAATAAAGCTATGCCTTACCACTGATCTTTAAGAGACATTTAAGACATGTCTTGAATTCAGATGTTTTTTCTTTTTCTGTCTTTCTTTTTTTTTTTTTTTAGAGACAGAGTCTCACTTTGTCACCTTCCTCACAGCTTACAGCGACCTCCAGGTCTTGGGCTTAGGCGATTCCCTTGCCTAAGCCTCCCAAGTAGCTGGGACTACAGGCGCCCGCCACAACACCCAGCTATTTTTTTGTGGCAGTTTGGCTGGGCCGGGTTCTAACCTGCCACCCTCAGCATGTGGGGCGGTGCCCTACTAACTGAACCACAGGCTCCGCCCTTGAATTCAGACGTTAATGTAGAAAACAATGAATGAGTTTTAGAATTTCTGAGATATTGTAATGAACTGATGTTCCAATAAGGAAAAGATTCTACTTCTGTTCTGAAGTCTGACCGTACCTGTAGCTCCAATAGACATGAGGGAAGTTTATTATTTAGTGAATATTAATATTTCAGCAAAGCTAGAAATTTTGGAGTTTTTCAGCATTGAAATGTGTCACTTGTTTTCTAAAGCAGTATTTTTCAAATATGCGACTCAAAAATCAATTTTACTTTTTAATAAGATAGGATGGAATATAATATAAAAGATCAGAGTACATAATACTGAATAAGGACAAAAATTGCTTTTTGAAACTTATTTCAGATATGCAGGAAGATGAGAAGGTGTCCTATGCTGTGGTTTACACTTCCTTTCTTACTGTGGATTATAATCAAATAGATTTGAAAAAGAATTTTCCTTGAGCATAGACAGCATGCAAGATACACCATCTGGACTCGGTTTCCCTGATGCTTTTCCTTTACTTTGAAGATGGAGCCTAAAGATGAGGAAAAAAAGGCAAATTGCCTTGCCTAATCCTTTCCTGCCTCAGCCCTGATTTCTTACATTGGTGTTTGAGAAACCAAGGTACTAGAACCAAGAAGGTCTGGATTACAGAATTAGCTGATTAGATGTGTGACTAGATAAAATTACTCTCTGTATAGCAAGTTCTGATAAAAGTAGGGAGTTGGACCATGTGCTCTTTTAAGGGATGATACATAACCTTTTTTTCCAGTGGATGACATCCACATTTGAAACAGCCATGTTTACCCAGAATTATGCAAATTCTTGACAGACTAGGACTAGCTTTAACAACTTTCAGTTTCACACAAAAACAAAAATCAAAATGCAAGTGAAGATATTATTGGAAAACAAACGTAAGTATTACTCTCACAATTTTCTATACTTGTTTTGAATAACTAATGATTTTGACATACGTCACAACCGATTGTAACACAGTAATATACCACCAATACACTGCAGGAAATGATCATTCCATCTAGCATTTTCAATGTGATTATAACAGAAACTATAATACGTAATCCTGCACTATAAGTGAAAAAAATTCAGTCATTCCCATTTGCTGTGTTAAGAAATACCCTGCAAGTTTGCTACTCTTAAAGTAATTTTAAGAATGACATTTTAAAATAAAACTTTTATTATAATGATCCAATTTTCATTCCAGTGAGAATTCATCTCTTTTGCTTACTGCTTAATTATCCATTTCTAAGAATAAGAAGGTTTTTTTTTTCCAAATTAGTTTAAGCCCTAACAGGAATGATAATCTTTCCCACAGAATTAATTTCAGCCTTGACCTAGAATGACAGAGACATGGCTTGAGTTTGTTTTCTTTTTTCCCTTTAGCCTATCCAGTTAGACACTTACGTTGCTAAAGAATGCTAATCAGGGTTTTAGACTAAAATCCTCATTTTCTGGAATTTAGATTACGAGTAACCTCAATCTGGAGAGGGGAGAGGTTGGGGGATTGGTGTGCTCCCACTTACTGGGCACAATGTAAGGGTATATGGCACACCTCTTGGGTGGGAGGTACAACTACAGTAAGGACTCTAGCTAACAAATGCAAACATTGTAACCTAATTGTACCCTCATGTTAATCTGAAATAATTTTTTAAAAGTAACTTTAACCATAACTAAAATATTCAAAGTAGTTTTAAAGACTAATAGATTGTACTATTCTTGTGGATCATATGACTTGCTTTAGCAGCTGGTTGAGAGCAGATGTTAAATGCTAAATCGAAGCAGAAACCTTAAGTTTGAGTGCAACATTCAGGTCAATCTCTTTTGTGCTGCCTGCCACCAAAAGAGAAAGATGTGTTCCAGATAAAATCTCAGAATTAGAAAATCTGCAGAGCAGATCTGAAACCAACTCTCACTACAGACAGCGCCACGGCCATGGACCTGCAGCTCCTGCTGGGCAGCTACTGCCATGAAACAAGGACAAAAATATTTGATGTAAATCACAGAGATTTTTGAGATTGTTAACTAAAATAATCTGGCAAATCATCTAAATTGAATTTGAGCCAACAAATGAGTAGTTCAAAGGCTAAATTTACCATGGAACAGTAATAGTTGAGCATCTACGTATTTAATAAAATAGAAGACATCTTCATACTAGTTGACCAGATATTTGGTAAGCATCCACTTGAAATTTATATTAAGAAGTAGTTGATTTACAAAATCTACGATTTGCATATTGATTTTAAGTATTTCTGTTTAGTATTATTTGTCTTATATCTCTTGAGAAAAATTTGGATAATTAAGTATAAAGAAGAATATAGGCTTGTGTTTCTGGACTAGGTACTTCAATCACTAGTCACACTAAAAATAAGTCCTGGAAAAAATGTTTTTTAAATCTTCTTAGATATATTAATTAATTGACAATAAGATATTAGTAAGTCAAAAGACTAAATAAAGGTAGACGCTAAAGCATTGAGCTGAGTTTACAGCTAGCCTTTATTCCGGGGCATTTGCTAAACCCTGTTACTTGAGCTTTGGTTTTCAAGGCCCTTGAAGAGACATTTTACACACACAACTCACACGTGCATGCACTTAGTATAAGGACATATGAGAAGTAAACTTAGCCCTTATTAGCATACACACATTTCCCCCAGAGTCTACAAAGAAAAATTAACTGTTTTAAAACCTTGACACCTATTGGATAGGGGAAAAGCAAAATCATATTTGAGGATTTGGTACCACAATCTAATTCTCACAAAAATTGTAGCTTGAATTCACATAACCTTGGTGAGCCAAGAAAACCTTAAGCTAATAATTTAATTGAGAATGATTTTTGACTGATAATACTCTCAAACACTGAAGAAATAAATGTCACTCCTCTCTGGAGTAACCTGTCTTTATCTTAAGCCTTAAAGAATGACTATAGATGAAATGTTAAGAAGAGCAGCTCACATTAGAGAAAAGCAGTACAGATATAAGACAGCAGAGACAGATTCTAAAGGAGTTCAGGCTGAGTGCAGTGGTTTATGCCTGTGATTCCCAGTGCTTTGGGAGGCAGGAGCAAGAGGATCTTATAAGGCCAGGATTTAAAACACTAGACTGAGCAACATAGTGAGATACCCTCACCCCACCCCCCATCTATACAAGAAAAAACAAATTAGCCAAGCATAATGATGCATGCCTATAGTCCCAGCTACTGGCACAGCTAAGGTAGGAGGATGGTTTGAGCCTATGAGGTCAAGGTTACCAGAGTTGTATCACTTTACTCTGTACGAGGTAACAGAGCAAGTGAGACCCTGTCTCCAATAAAATAAAATAAAAATAAATGAGTTGAGATCTGGGATTTACCAGACACAGACTATTAAAATAACTATTAAATATGAACATAGACATAAAAGGCAAGCTTGGAAATGTGTGCAGAGAAGACTGTAAATAATGACTGAGAATATATGAAAAAATATAAAACCTAAAGAACTGAAAAATAAAATTAAAAGCTCAATGAATAAGTTTAGTAGTATATTTGATACAGCAGAAGTATAAGCTAGTGAAATGGACAGTGCAGATGAAATTATCTTAAATGCAACAAGCAGGGACAT